TGGCCCTGCTCAAAGGCAGTCAGCTCCACTGCGGAGGCGTGCTGCTCAACAAGCAGTGGGTGCTCACGGCCGCCCACTGCCGGATGAGTGACTACAGTGTGCACTTGGGTAGTAATCGTCTGGACAGCAGGAGAGCCCAGAGGATCAAGGCCACAGAGTCCTTTGTCCACCCCGGCTACTCCACACAGACCCATGTCAACGACATCATGCTTGTGAAGCTAAGCCGCACAGCCAGGTTGTCCTCCACTGTGAATAGAATCAACCTGCCCTCCCGCTGTGATGTGCCGGGGACCATGTGCACCGTTTCTGGCTGGGGCACCACCACCAGCCCTGATGTGACCTTTCCATCGGAGCTCATGTGTACGAATGTCAAGCTCATTTCCTCCCAGGACTGCAAGGAGGTTTACAAGGACCTGCTGGGAAAATCCATGCTATGCGCTGGCATCCCCAACTCGAAGTCCAACGCCTGCAATGGTGACTCAGGGGGACCGCTGGTGTGCAGAGGCACGCTGCAAGGCCTGGTGTCCTGGGGAACTTTCCCTTGTGGCCAACCCAACGACCCAGGAGTGTATACCCAAGTCTGCAAGTTCGTCAGTTGGATAAAGGAGACCATGAAAAACAATAGCTAATTTCTCCAAAACTCCCATCTCCCCAGCTCTGTGCCTTGAACGGGAAATTTACAGAAATCAGGACATCGGCGACCTGTAGTCATATTTGACTTCACCTTTGCTCAAACTCATATTAAAACCTCGACAATATTACATGTGTGTAAACCAGTGAAATAAAGCAAAAAGCCAAGATCAACACAAACACAAAAAAAATCTCGGGGCTCGTAAAGATGCAATGAGACCAGCAACCTCAGTCACGGGAACTGTCAATTGGTACAATATTTTTGGAAGGCAGCTAGCTGGGCAAGGTAAATCAAGATGCTTATTCACCACCTGGGACGCAGTAATGCTCAGAAACCAGAAATGTGCAACGAGGTTTGAATCAGTAGGTTGTTTATGTAAACAATAAAGGGATTTGTGGCAAGGATATTAATGAAGCTGTCCAGGATAATAATTATGCAGAGTTGTCAGTGTTACGCAAGAATGTTGATGCCATCTGATGTTAAATGAAAAAAAGGAAGACAAATATATATGCATGTGACTCACCATGTAAAATATTCACAGAATAAAATCTGACAGAGCATGTACCAAAAAAAAAAAAAAGAAGAAAAGAAAATCAGCAAGGATATAAAAGAACTAAATACTACCAGACACAGAGTGGAAGGGAAGAGTTCAAATCATTCCTATTTGCAAATGATGTGACTGTGTGTCAAATCCCAAGGAATATATACCCCCCCAAATCCTAGAACTAATAAGTGAATTCTGCAGTGTTTTAGGATATGAATACAAAAATAAATTTCTATGTTTAAAAATAGTAGACATTGAAAAATATATTACATTTACAATCATACACATAACAGACTTAGGGGTAAAGTTTTTTTAAATTTTATTTTGTATTGGTTTCAGGTGTGCAACTGAGTGGTTAGATAATCATATGATTGACATAACGTTCCCCTTGATATATCCAGTACCCCTAATGGCACCATACATAATTATTGCACTATTATTGACTATATTTCCTGTGCTTTATTTCTGTCCCTTGACTATTTTGTAACTACAGATTTCACTTCTTAAGTCTCTACCTCTTTCATCCAGTGCCCCAAGTCCCTTTGCCCTCTGGCAGTACAGTTCTCTCTCTGTATTTATGAGTCTGTTTCACTTTTGTTTGTTTGTTTTGTTCTTTAGATGACACATATAAGTGAAATCATATGATACCTGTCTTTCACTGGCCGACTTAGTTAAAAATACATGGGAGCAGCTCTTTAGAATTTGGAGCTTGGCAATGATTATAAAAAAGGAAAAGGTGATTAGTTGAACCTTATCAAAACTTTTTACGAGTTTGTTCTGCAAAGACCCTGTGAAGAGGATGAAAAGACAAGCAGCAGGAAGGGAGAAAATATTTGCCAAACACACATCTGACAAAGGACTAATATCTGGAATATATAAAGAACTTTCCAAACTCAAATTTAAAAAATAGACAGTCCAGTTAGAAAATAGGTAAGAAACAGGAAGAGACATTCCACTAACAATGATACACAAATATCAAATAAACATATGAAAATATTCTTAACATCCGTTCATTAGCCATTAGAAATAATGCAAAGTAAAACCAAAATGAGATATCATTACACACCTATCAGAATGGCTAAAATAAAAAATAGTGACAATACCAACTACTGGTATGGATACAGAGTAACTGTATCACTCATACATTGTTGATGAGATGAAAAATGGCAGTCACTCTGTTAAACAGTTTGACAACTTCTCATAAAAACTAACTATTCAGATACCGTGCAGCCTAACAATTGCATTCCTGGGCATTTATCACAAATAAATGAAAATGAATGTTTACATATAACCTGTACCCAAGACTAGAAATAACTCAGATGCTGTTCAGCGGGTGAGTGATAAAACAGTTATATATCCATACTGTGGAATAAAAACAATGAACCATACGGTGGAATAAAAACAATGAACTATATTGTTTTACATTAGCAACCTGGATCACTCCCCAAAGAATTAGGCTGATTGAAAAAAGCAAATCCCAAAAGGTTTTATCTAATTTATACCCTGTATTATTTCACTGTAGCATTCTTGAAATGCTGAAATTATAGAAATAAGGACTAGATTAGTGGTTGTCAGGAGTTAAAGAGGGGATAGAGGGAAAGGAAGTGGGTAGGGTTAAACAATGGCAACATGAGGATGGTGATGGCAATATTCTATGTCCGGATTGTGCCAGTGTCAGCACTCTGTGTGTTACTGCACTGTAATTTTACAAGATATTACCATTGGGAGAAATTAGAATAGGTATGGGAATCTCTCCGTATTACTTATTTCTTACAACTTTATGTGAATACAAAGTTATTTCAAAATAAAAAGGTTAAAAAAATGAATAAAGTGAAAGTGTCTTTATGTGAAGCAACTGCACCTGCAGTAGAAATGTATCTTGTAAGCCTTTGAATACCAAAATAAAGTTTGAATTTAATTCTTTAGATAATAAGGAACGGAAAAAAATTTTGATTATGGTATAGCACAAAGTAAATTAATAGAAAATTAGTCACAGTAGATGGAATAAATTTTCTTACATATAAAATTATGTATTATGAAAGTATTTCACAAGTATCTTATAAAATATCTTAACGTTTGGATTTTTTCTTTAAAAGAAAATTTTTATTGTATTGTTTTTCCATTACCATTTATTGCTTTTTACCCTCTTCCACTTCCACCTACCTCTGGAATTTTTTTATAAAAAACGCAAAGCTTTAAAAATAGAATTGGGCTGACAATACATTAATAGTTTAAAAAGTAATAGCATTATGAAATGAACTGAAATAGTCCATTTATTGAATAGAGGTTAAATTCTTAAGCTGGTATTACTCAAAGTATAACTTTGGCAGATACTGATAGATATGTTTTATTTTTATTTTTTAGGTTATAGGTTAATACCTTGGTGGTGTTTGCAGGTACATTGTTGGGCTCTCTGCTTATGCCTTCCCATTGGAGCAACTTTATAAATGATGGCTACATTTCTAAGTCATAGATCTATTTGAGAATTTAAAGAAAGTTTAGAACCATCTTCTCAAATAAATAGGTCATTCACCTGATTTTTCTTGCCTTAGAGTTGACATACCATCTGAGACTTATCTCTGAAATCCAGGTTTAAAAACCCTATCAGAAAAAAGTTCCAGAGTATCTATATATAATTAATTTCAGTGTGATAATGAGATCAGCCCAAAACAATTACCTAATGAAAGTCTGTTTGCTTCACAGTACCTATGGCAACGACCACATGGGCTTCAAAAAGTATTTTAATATACCCCATATTGCAAGAGGCTTATGTGATCTAGTTTAAGAAGCAAGCTATATTTATGAAATGATTAATTATTAGAAATGGCAGAAAGAAAATAGGGTAGTTCCTGCTTTTAGATTGAAGCATTAGAGTTTTTATAAATTACCTCAGGAAGACATTTTGATAACCATTGTACCATTACCTCTTTTTAAAATAATTGTAAAAAATTCTTCAATTACAGTTGACATACCATATTATGTTAGTTTCAGGTGTACAACATAGTATTTAGACATTTATATAATTTTACGAAGTGGTCACTCCTGTACCATTGTCTATTTTGGGACTATGAGATGGGAGGTAGAATTCTTTATAAATAAATATCATGGAAGTAACAAAGTGAGGTGGGAAAACTAGAGACTATCTGGATTCATTCAAAAACAAATTTGGACTTTATGTTGAATTATCAGGATAATGCAGTGAAAACATAGACACAGTCCCTACCCTCATGGAGTTTACAGTTTTAAGAGGAATAAATTTTTCAGGAACAGAATGAAAAATAGCTGCAATGTGCAAAAAAAGATTTATGGTGTAGGTTGCATAAAGTGTACTTGCTGTGCTAAAAAAAAAAAATTGACCTTGAACAAGTTTCCTAATCTTTATGACCTTAGGTGGCTCATTTGTACAGTGGGTATAATAATGGGTAATATAATAAGGTTTTGGGTTCAGAGCCCAGCATTTGGTAGCTAGCTACTGCTACTATTATGGGTTTGAATGGCACTAATGAACTGACTAGGTTAGGATGCTCAAAAATGAAGAAGTAGGATATTAGGGTATGGAGCACAATAGTAAGAAAGAAAGATTGACATTCCTTTATACTTAAGGTAATAGGGAGACTTGCCTGTCTAGTTTAAAAAATTGTATTGGGAGGTAATACTATGTGTAATTGCAAGCAGGTATACCACCTTTAAAAGAAATTGTTACTGTTTTACTATTTTATTGATTAGCCTCAAGTAGTAGTTGTTGTTAACATGACAGTTTTTTATATGGAGTAGTCTAATAATACAAAAACTTTGCTTACCAACTTCTACTCATTACTCTTGCAGAGATTGGAAACGCTTATGCTATTTTAAGCAATCCAGAAAAACGAAAACAATATGACCTCACAGGCAATGAAGAACAAGCATGTAATCACCAAAACAATGGTAGATTTAATTTCCATAGAGGTTGTGAAGCTGATATAACTCCAGAAGACTTGTTTAATATATTTTTTGGTGGTGGATTTCCTTCAGGTATTTTAATGCTAATTATAAATATTATATTTTATGAAGCCAGAGAGTCTCACCTTCATATAGGCTATTTAGAGATTTATCTACCTTCCTCCATACATTTCTTACAATATTATTATCCTGTGATGGTTTTTCCTGAAGGTGGAAAAAAATGTTAGACTAATTACATTTACTATCAGTCTACCTTTTTCCTAGAACATATTTTAATTAAAAATAAAAAGAAGAGTACAGATATTCTGTATTTTATATAAAGCTGAAGAAAAAATGGGTAAGTAGAAAATCCAGTGGCAGTTTCTTAGTTAAGTGCTATTATGACCATGGATGACTATTTGACATTGTTTCCCTGGAGATCTTCCTAGATATTTTATTAATAACATTATAGATTGCTAGTTTGGATAAATGTGGAGGTATTTTACATTGTTAATACTATTAAAATGTCTGATATGTAGGTTATATAAAAAGTAAGTGGGTTTTTAAAATTATGTTAAGATAGAAATAATTGCTTTAGCTAGGCTATCAAAGTAAAATATAATAGAGGTACTACTCAATGAGTAGATTTTATAGTATTAGCATAAGTAGTATTAAACTCTGCTTGTATTTACTGTGAGGAGTTTGTATGAAAATTAATTTTCTTTAAGAGCAGCTCCTCTAAGGTGTTCAATATTAAAGCTCCAATCTTTTTTTTTTTTTTTTTTTACAGCATTTCCTTAAGGTTTTAAGTTAAACATCCCATTCAAAGTTAGGAGAATTTTTATAAACATAGCAATGTAATTTGGCCTGGTGGCCCAATCCAAATATTACTGAGAAAGATGAGGGTCATTGAAAGGACATTTTGTAAAGAATCCTTGTAGGAAAGATGATGTGTAAATATAAATTAATGACTGAAAAATATAACCTGTATTTGTATTACTAGGATATGTAATTATCTCTCAAAAAATATTCAGAATAATAATTCTGACTAAAAATATGTTAGGAACAGTCAGAAATCTTTCAGGTAATAGTGAATTTTCTGACAGCTTTTTCACAGTTCTTTGGCTTTTTTAACATAGCTTACTTGGTCAGTTGTAGCCATTCCTGGTTGGTCACCTTATTTGAGAACAACTTGAATGTCCATCAGAAGGAGAATATTTGATTAAATAGTGGTCCACCTCTATTGTAGTGTATTCTATAGCTATTTTTTTTCAAAAATGAACTAGATTACAGTTTTGAATTTTAGAGATATTTATGATTAGTTGATAAATGCAGAAGGAGTTTCAGAGTAATGATCCAAGGTCTGTAAAAACAGTCAACCAAAACAGAAGTTCTCTGTGTATGCATATTAAGGAGGAACTTGTACTCAACTTTTCTTAAAAAAAAGAATTCAACTTTATTTTAAAGGAAGCAAAGTCTGGGGAGAATCATTCCTGTTTCTATCCACCCTTCACTCATGAGAAGAGAAAGCAATAAGCATTCACTATCCCAAACATGCGTTAATTTAGTATTATTTTCTGTTTGTGTTATTGATTTCTGCTCTTAATTTTATTATGTTCTTCCTACTTCTTTTGGGTATAATTTACCTCCATTTTCCTAGATTCTTAAGACAGAACCTGAAAGCAGGAGTTGACAAACTACAATTTAATGCCAGATTCAGACTGCTTTTGAATGGCCCATGAATTATAAGAATGGCTTTGCATTTTTTAAATGTTTAAAAAAGTCAGAAGATGAATACTGTTTTGTGACATGTGAAAATTAAGTGAAATTCAGTTATCAGTGTCCATAAATAAAGTTTTATTGCAACCACAAAAAGAATATAAATAAAAATTAAAAATATTTTCTTTGTAAAAGAAAATATAATTTTTTTAATCGTAATTGCTCTCCCTAATTTAACCTTGCTTTTAATTTTTCTAGGTAGTGTCCATTCATTTTCAAATGGACGAGCTGGTTATAGCCAACAACATCAGCATCGACATAGTGGACATGAAAGAGAAGAAGAAAGAGGAGATGTATGTTTATGATATGATTAGAAATTATAAAATGACAAATTTCAGCTCAGGAAAAGCAATTAGAGCTGTCTGAAAATACAGCAAGTATTTTTAAACAGAAGTAATAAGTTTTCTCTTACCAGAGTTGTTCAATAGAGACTAGAATGTCCCTTAAAGGTATTGGGGTAGCCCAGTGGGTAGAAGTCAAAGTGGAGGGCGGTTGGGCAATATGACACCTTTAAATGTGGTTTTCTATGATTCTCATGAAGATAACCTGCGGTGTACATATTTTGAAGGTTACTTCTTGTTGGTCCTGAAGAACTTAGAATTTATACTGAAAAACTTAAATTGAATGTAACTTTCCTTGTTTTAATGCAGTTATACCTAATTGCACACAGCAATTAAATCACATGAAGTAGAAAGGTAAGTGGAAAGAGCACTAGATTATAAATTAAAAGGCCTGTGCCCCCACTGTACCACTCATCAGCCTCCATGTTCTACCCTCAAATCCAAAGTAAAAGTGCACCTGCTGCATATTGATAGGGTCTGTGTGTGGGAGAGAAAGAGAGAACTTCTGGTCTGTAAAATAAGATCAGGTTGTGTCAGTGTTTTCCAAATCGGGATCACTAGGGGAAGCACCTGGAAAGCTGTATTTTTAAGAATCACCTCAGAAAGTTGGTACACTCAGGCAGATTTGAAAGCACTGAACCAGATTTCAAATATCCTTTCTACCTCTAAAAATGCATGACAACTGTTAGATTATTGACAACTATAGTTATATTACAATTCATTGTTCTTTGATGATTTCTTTATAGGGAGGTTTTTCGGTGTTTATTCAACTGATGCCCATTATTGTATTGATCCTCGTGTCACTACTAAGTCAATTGATGGTCTCTAATCCTCCTTATTCCTTATACCCCAGATCGTAAGTAGCTAAAGGACGTTTTACAAAAAAGAATTGCTTTTGTTTCTTATTTGGCTTTCCTTAAAAGGCCTTGTACTTTTTTAAACTTTTAAGTGCTATATCTTCTATTACTACAAGTGTTCCAGATTTTAAAATGTCTAATTTTTAAAATAGTTACTTAAGTGATAAAACATGTTGTTAGTTTACTTCTGTTCCATTGTGGATAAAAACTGAAGTGCTATACTATTTAAGTTTGATAGCAATTTAATGTAATAAGTAATATGTTGACATTAAATACAAAAATAGACTTGTCATTAATCCTACATAGGTTTGTGTTATTATGGGGGAAGTAACTTCACTTTTCTCTTGTAAAATGTTGATTAAATAAAAACATATTTCTTTTTCATGAAGTATTTTTCCATAATGTACTTTATATAGGAGGTCAGTACATAGAAGAAATGTAATTGCATCTATTCTAGAACCCTTCAGTGTAATAAAATGAACATATAGGAAACTTTGTAAAATCATACTGCCAGAGATTTTACAGTATTAAAAACACTGGTCTAAAAATAAGAAGTAACATTTTATTTCTTCCAAATAAGATTTTTGTTAACTAAATATTGAGAGAACTTAAAAGAATATAGTATATTAAAATGATTATGTTAAAAAAATAAAGTATGATTACGTTTTATGACATAAATTGTAGTGGTTAGCAATTTGAGATAATGTAAATACATGATTACCAATAATGACTTTTTAATTATTTTTCATTATGTTGTTAGCTTGGTTTATAGTAGGAGATCAGAATGTACAGTTTTAATTAAAAATAACAAGCATTTTCTTTTACAGTGGATCAGGGCAAACTATTAAAATGCAGACAGAAAACTTGGGTGTCGTTTATTATGTCAACAAGGACTTTAAAAATGAATATAAAGGAATGTTGTTACAAAAGGTTGAAAAGAGTGTGGAAGAAGATTATGTGACTAATATTCGAAATAATTGCTGGAAAGAAAGACAACAGAGTAAGCTTATCAAATGTTTAACATCTAAAAACTTATTCAAAGTCTTGGGAATTGATTACTGCAAGTTTCCCTAGTCAAGGAATAGTCTAGAATTGCGCACTACATAATCAGAGCTCAATACTTAAATGAGACAGAATGTTTTAATATACATTTGTCCTGTAACAGCATTTGCACATAGCAAGGACTTAAATGGTGTTTGTGGGGCTTTTTGTCATCAATAAGTATTGTTGAAATTCGAGTATGGACTAGATATTAGATAATAGTATTATATCATTGTTGAACTTCTGAATTTGAAAATTTACTGTGGTTGTATAAGAGAAAACAATTGTTCTTAAAAACATGCTGAAGTAATTAGGAATGAAAGGTCATGATGTCTGTAACTTATTCTCAAACACTTCTGCAAAGTTATAACTACCACAACAATAACAATAGGCTTTATTGTAGAGACAGCTAAAGCAATTTGACAAAATATGAAGAATTAATCAGTCAAGGTAAAGGGTTTTAGGATGTTCATCATAGTACTTTTGTGTAGGTTAGAAATTTTCAAAATAAAATTCAAACTCAGCATATCCATGTTAGTTTTGAAAGAAAATGGAAGTGGGGAGGGACTCAGTATAACATTAATCCATTGATTTAATGTTTCACTTGTTGAGATTATCTTGTTTTATAAATTAATAACATCAAAAAGGTTATTGGCTAATGTATATTCTTTTGCCAGGGTTTTTCTGTTTTGGAGTCACTTCTAACCCTCTGTAAAGTCTAGATTGGTAAAATAGGTTTTTATAAAATACAATAATTTGAGGTAATGGAAAGAATATTATACTAGGAGTGGGAAATTTGGATTGGAGTCTAGATTCCAATATTTATTTACTAGCCCTGTGAACTTTGGTTTGTATACCTCATTTGGGAAGACTCAGCTGCAAATAGATTTTCTAAGTGTCTCATTTGTAAATTAAAGGGGTAGAATGATCTTTATTTAGCTGTTAAAATCCAAGCCTGATTTGATTGAATAAAGATCATTTCTGATGATCTTTAAAAATAGATAACATTCATACCTTTGAGTATTGTTTTTGTGGTTGTGGCTGATGACTACTACTTTGGTGACTGTTTTCAAAAAAATAACCAAATTTTTCCTTTTATAATTACAATGTTTTCCTTTTTTTCCTCTAAGTACTGCCACCCTTTAGAAGTGTTAACAAACACATTCTTCAGGGAAGTTTTCCTTATTTTTGAAATAATTTTGAAAATAAGGAAAACTTCCCTGAAGAATGTTTGATTTCTAGTTCATTTATTTTTCTTTAGTAAAAATGCATTCCACATGCTGAAGGCAGCCTCAGAAGTACGTACTTGTTGAATATCGCTACTGTAATTGTAGTAGAATCTTTTTTTCCTCATTTGTGTTCCTTCAGTAAGGTTATTGTATATATTTTTTTAAAATTCAAGCAAACTCAGAACAAAATTTCAAAAGTTTCCACTTCTAAGTCTTGGCATAATTAAATAACGTGAAACCTTAACAAAACGTCACAGCAAGAACAACCAGTAGTGGTATTGAATAACATATGATATCTTTAGGGTAAAGAGTGAAGATGATGCGTTAGAGCAGTTCTTAAACCATTGGGGACAGGAGTGGAGGGAAAAGATTGATAGAATTCTATCCCTGTTTCTTTTCCAGAACAGCTCTGTGTTTGTTTTACATGCTGGGTTTCCAAATGGCTTTTAAGAGTAGCACTTGGATTTCTTTCTTTTTTTAAAAAGTCAGTTAACAAAAGTATGTTGAAGGGCTTCTATGTATGAAACATCATTTGTGTTTAAACAACTCAGTGATCTAAATTATTTACTTAGCAAAATATTTATGTTTGTTAACAGAAACAGATATGCAATATGCAGCAAAAGTGTACCGAGATGAGCGACTTCGAAGGAAGGCAGAAGCCTTGAGCATGGATAACTGTAAAGAATTGGAACGGCTGACCAGTATTTATAAAGGAGGATGAACTGGAGTTATATTTATATCTTTTAGCATACTATTTATTTTTTCTGTGAGTTAGTTTCATCATGAGAGCTAAAGAAGATTTGTTGATAAAAACTAAACTTGAATAGTTGGTCCCTGAAATCTTGGGCTGTTTATAACCTACTGACTCCTTTAAATAATAAGAAACTAAAAACTAAAATTAATATTTTAGTTATGCTTCTGTAAGCTTATATGATTGCTAACTAAAAATGTCTAAAGAAAGGACTGTCACACCTGTAGCAGTTTCCAGTTTTATTAATTCTCCATTTTTTTCTGTATGTAAATATTAATGGGATGATCATTTTGTGTACGTACAAGGTTATTGACTTTTTTTAAAATTTAAATTCTTTTAATGTTTAGCTCCATGAGACACTTCAGTTTAAATTGATTAAATAAATATTCTATGACAAAATTACATGTTCCTTGTCAGATGTCAAATGTGTGGAGTTTAAACAGTGAAACTTTTTCAAAAAGAAAAGAAAAAACAAAAGCTGTTTAACTTTGTGTAAAATCTTATAGCATTATTACCTATTTTAATATTGCCATTATATTCCAAAATATATATTGAGAGAAATGAACTGGTGTAGAGTATCAATTTGCTATTTATTTAGTTTTATGAATTGCTAAGCCATGCATAGAAATGAAATGCTATACTGATAGATTTTAAAGAAAATATGAGGAAATGGCTATATAGATATTAAACAAAAAGGTCTTTAACAGTAAATTGCAGTTATGTCATTTGCAATCCAATTATTAAAATTCCCCCAAATGTTCATATAAAGGGGAGGGCAAAAGTAGGTTTATAGTTGTAATACAGATAAGTGATACAATCATTAATGGATAAGGATTCAAAAATAAACTTTGTTTCATGTACTCACAACTATAAACCTACTTTTGCCAACCCCTGTATGTGTCTTTATTTAAAGACTACTAAAGTTTATGCAGAAAAGGACCTACCTGTTCCCCCACCCCTGTGGAAATTTGCAGTTTCTTCTTAGTGACCATTTAAGTAGAACCCAAAAGTAAATAGATTCTTCTACAAATAAGTAATAGGAAAAAGTACTACTTTGCTCTGTGCCTTTTAACCTGATTGCCAACTCTTAAACATGTAAGTAGATCACAGCACACTTATTTGATCAGGGCATGACCTGTTTGGCCACATGTAACAATGAACAGAAATATAGCAGCAGGTAGAATAGTGATTTATAGCAAGTTATCCTTATAAAATTCTGAGCTAAAGTCTATTTACCATTGAGTAACTCAATTAATCCCATAGGAATAAGTTTCTTGTAGTTAAATCCACAATACAAATTTGAAAAATCAGCTGGAAATGGAAGTTTTTAGTGCCTATATTAGGTTTGAAATGTTGATTTCTAATCTATGTTTAACATTGTAACATTTTAATTTTGCTTCATACTCAGTTAATGGAACATGAACACATCTTTGGAAGTTTCTCTTTTAAATATGAGAGAATGCTGGTTAAAGTGGCAGTATCCCTTTGTTGAAATATTTTTTTCTGTATGTAGTGAATTTATAGCATCTGTTGAAACTGTTAAAATGACCATTCTCTTAAAAATGTTCTCTTGTGCCCCCTTTCTGGATGAATCAATAGAAATATCTAATTGAATTAAAATAAACTCCATACTGCCCTAGGAAAGCTAGACAGCTTAACCAATTTTCTTTTAGAAATGCCACCTTTAAAAAAATAGTAATGCTTAAAAGAAATACAATTTTAAATATTTTCTTGAGCCTGTAGAATGAATTTAAGAAAGTCACAGCATTCTGATTGTGAAAGTTCATATGCATCAGAAAACTTGTAAATGAAAAATTTCATCCATTTATTTTTCTATTTTATTGGGATATTTCCATGATTGTGGTTGATGCTTATGTGAATTGACTCTTGACTGATTCTCTTTCCCATAATCCTGGTGGCAGATGAAGTTACCAAAATAAGTGAAATTATATATGAAGAAGTCATACATGGCTTGTGGACAGTATTATACTGTATTTCAGTTGCATTGCTGCATTCCATTACACTTCATAAAATGTTGGGGGAAATGTGTTTGATAAAATTTGCAAACAATTTTGGGAAATGACTTGAGTGCCTAACAATTTAAGCTACTTATAAAATATGTAAGTAAAGATAAAATCCTTAATATTACATATATCATGTATAAAAGTCCAACTAAGTGTATTAGAATTTGGGGATTAATTCTACAAAATTAGAAAACTTTTTAGCTATCTTAAGATGTGAGATTTTCATATCTTTGCTACTTTTAAAAATTTCAACATTTTGTCACATTAGTTTTACCTGCAGTTTCATTTGAAAATTTGTACTGTTTATTTTAATCGTTGTCTAAAAGCCCTCATTCTTTAAGTATTGCATTACTAGCTTTTCTTACTGTATTTTAGAAGTTTTGCAGCAGTTATATGTGTTAATGCTTTACATTTTTATACCTTTTACACATACACACAAACAACATTGTCCTTGTGAGGATTTGGGGGAAAATAAGTAGTATCTTTTCTTCTACCTTTTTTTTAATCCCTTAGTTCTCAAATAGGTGCTAGTCATTTGTAAGTTTCAGAATTTATTTTAATGAAATCTGAGAATTTAATTCTCAACAATGAGAAATTTCAAATTATAACCTATCTAGTACGTGAAAATATATTTTGAAATAGATGGCATTTGAATGCTTAAATAAGTACTTGTTTCATAATCATTACATTCTTATTTATGATTTACAAAGATTTAGTAGAGAAAAGAAAGTCCTTACGGCATCAGCACACCCCGCTTTTGTGTCAGCTCAGGTGTTCACGGGAACAGGAGTGTGAAATTCAAACCCTTTACTTTAATTGCACTTTTTTGCTTACATTTCTTCCTGTTAAGTCTTCAGCTAAACTAGTATTTAAAGTAGTTACCAAGAAAAATAATTAACATCTTGATTTCCATTTGTTGATATGCAATATTTTAAAATGCAGCTGTTAATTTAATATATGTGACATGTTCCTATGACTTAATAATGTAGTCCCACGTATTCATTAAAAATAAATCAATCTCAAATATTTCTTGGTGTTGGCCTGAGGACCAAATGAGCCATTTTTCCAGTTCAGTAAGTATTACATTAAAGGACTAAATGGTTCAAAGGAATAATTTGTGCATTTGTTTAGCTTCCACATATGAAGTTTGGGTTTAGTATTACCCATATTACTATCTTCATACTAAGTGATGCAAACTAAAAGGGCATTCATAATCTTTTTTCTTATCAGAAGAGAAGAATTTCTGAAAATGAACAGTAAATCAGAATTTTAATCTTTAGTAAAATAGCTAAACAGCCCTGTCTATTGGCCACATGGGGCTACTGCCTAGGTAAAACCCATAAATCTTTCTATAAACCAGTGAGAAAGAAAAGAGTCACCTGATAACAATTTCCAAACAAAAAGTGAGTAGGATGAGGATCTTCAAGGAATTCTTGCGTATCCCTTTAATAATCTGGCAGACAACACAGTCCTAGAATTCAGGCTTCCTTTTTGGTTTTACTACTATTAAATAGAAACTTTCATATAAATGGAAACATTTTCCCTCAAACATTAATTCAAAACATACTCCTTATATTAAGGATTTTGTAACCACATTTTTTTTTGTAAATTCCGTGTGTAACTTTTTCCTTTTGGTATGAGATTCCTTATTTAATTTTATTACCTGCTGGTTTTGGGGCCAATAGATTTGTGAATATTCTGTGGATGTGTCCGTGTATAGCTGTATATAATATTTTTTCCAGCTAATACCTCAAATGTGTGATTATTTTATACCACACTATGTTTGCACAGAGCAGGGCTTCCATTAGCAGTGGATATTCTTATTTCTAACTTTGAAAATCAGTCCACAGGATTTCATTAGTGTGAATTCTTTCTGTTGATATTTTTCGTATTTTAAAACAGATCCCTGTTGTAAGGCCCATACTTCAAATATAATTATATCTTCCTATATCTAGCAATCTGGAAATACGTAGGTGGTAAGAAGTGTTCCTTGAAATGTCTTAGTTTAGTTTGTTATTGAAAATTGGGATTACTGGTTGCCAAGCTGTCTAGTAACGGCATAGCAGATGACACCCAGCATGAATGTGAGGAAGTCTCAGTCACTTCAGCACAGGAATCAGGACATTCCAATCTTATATACTACTTGCCATTTAAAATGGTAGGAGTTTTTCAGTGACATAGGAGTATTTTAAGCATCAATTTCAAAATGAGTTGTTTTGAGTTGGATAACTATGCCAATGAGAAGAAACTCACATGTAAATCATATTTTGTAACTTATTTGTATTAAATGCTTCTTACATGTTTATTTTTTGTTTGTTTGTTTTTGGATTGCCACATAGACTTTCCATCTAAGTCATGTGTTTTTAACAGCTGCAGGTAATTTTCAAGGTATGATGGAATTTTAATGGAAGCCTTGTATTAGTTAAACGAAGTGAAACTGGTAAAGGAAATCTAAACTTTGTCTATAGTGCATTCTAAATTATACAATTAGATTTAAAAATGAAATGTCTGATTTGTAAAATATTTAATGTTAATATCAGACTTATATAAAATAAAATTTCCTGTGTGAGAACTCTTAAAGAAAATGTATGATTTTTAATGTTCTGAGTGATCTATGATTTTTTGTCTTTCAGTCTCAGCAGTTTATCTCAATGAATAAAACGGTCTGTTCTCACTCTATAGGTTGTGTTATCATGTTTTATATTCTTAGTAAGTTCTTTCTTTCAACCATTCAGTAAATGTATGAATGCCTGCTATATCCCAGGCAGGGAACTGAGTGCTGGGAATTAATCACTGAACAAGACAGAAAACCTCAGGAAGTTTTATATCTAGCAAGGAAGGTAAATGTTAAGAAAATAACTCATTATAATTATGATGAATGCCACAAAGAAAATTACAAGGTTCAGTGACAGCACATATCTAGAAGACTTAACCTACTTTGGGAGGACCAGGGAAGACTCCTCTGACAAAGTGAGTGGAAGCTGACACCCAAAAGATGAGAGTAGGAGTGAGGTGAATTCTAGAGAAGTGTTTGGAGCAGAATGTGTTGTTAAATTGATAAAGTCATAGAAACCTTATGGCAATGAAAACAAATTTAAATGATTATGGCATAAGGAAGCCAGGGAAAATTTGAGAATTAAAATAAGATAGGGGCCAGATTCCATAAGACCCATGTATAAACCATGAAGAGGAGAAGTGGACTTTATCCTAAGTCAGTAGAAAAGCTTCGTGGTTTTTAAGGAAGGAGTTACATGATGAGATTTGAGTTTTTAAAAGTATCATTATAGTTGCTGTGTGAAGAATGGAGGGCAAAAGTGAATGTAGGGGGAAATTGTCAAAGGAGAGATGATGATGATGGCTTGGACCAGAGTAAGAATATAGCTAAGTAAACGATTTTGAGAGATTCAGAAGTTAGAATCAAGGGAAATATTTGATTGGATTTTGGATAAATGGAAGCAGCGATTAAAAACTTTTCAAAAATTTGGCTATAGAGGGAATAGAGAGAAAAAGGGTGATAGCTGAGAGAGAATGTGTTTTCTAAAGAAGGATTTTTTTTTTTTCCAATTATTAGATGAGACCTTACTATTCACTACATGGGAGAACATCTTTAACTTTTTTATTTTGGTATAAAGGGGCAAGTAGAAAGTGAAACTGAAGATAGAGGAAAAGGGATAATAGCATTAAGTACCTGCTATGTCCAGAGGCTATAGGATCCACTGTCAAGATGGAAGAATTACTTTAAGAGACACCATCAACATTCTTTCACAAGAGAATGCAGAGGATGGATCCAAATGCAGGTAGATATGTAGTGTAGGTGGGATAATGGTATGGCTTGCATTTTCTTGAAGAAACAGGCAGTTTGTTAAAGTGGAGGGAGGGTGAAGAATGATAAAAAGGCTTAGAAAGAAGACAGTTTGAAGAAGTCATTTTTATTTAGTCAGATGACTAGGGATTTAGATGACTAGTTCCAGGTTGGTAACAATTTAAAATCTGTGTGTATATTCTCCAGACTAAGGCAACAGTGTAGGAATAGGCATGGAGAATACTAATTTACTCCTTCAAATTTTGGGTTCTGTCAGGCACTAAAAGTGGTTGGGGAGTTTTAGGATGTTGACGAGTGATTCCTCTGATGTAAGCTAGAGATAGGGAAATTAGTGATTTCTGAGGTGACTGTAAGTCCTGGGTGTTATGACAGTGGATGGTGGCATGGAAGAGAGTTACTGCCTCTGACTTTGTCATTTTATTCTTAATGGGCCATATCCCAAAAAACAGCCAGAATCAAATAATTTTGTAAACCAACTTAGTCTATGATAAAATTTTCATTTTTGTATGTTGAATCAGTGACTCTCTTCTTTGCATATGAGTTTGAGAACCAACTAGAATTTTCCACACAAAATCCAAATAATTGATTTTGTGATAGGAATTTAAGAAATTACAGATCTCTGCCATATACAATAGCTAAGAGAAATTTAAGCTAAACAGAAGCAAAGACTATGATATAACCATTAAAGTTTGAACTTTAATATGTGTTTATTAATGATATAATATTTATATGCTTTGTACATAATAGAAAATTAGGATGATGAGATAAAAATGTGAATGTATGTGTACAGTTTCTACTCTTATTCCTGAACATCAGGAGCCATCGCGTCCATCCCACTTTGGAAAACTGTTATGTAGTGCTGATAATCTTTTAGGCTAGTAAATATTTTCCCTGGCAGTGGTATTCATGTGTAAATGCAAACAAGTCAATCAGAGTACACAGGAACTCTCCCATTGACATGCTGTAATTCAGAAACCACCACACTTGGAAATGAGAAATCTCATTAGTTCTTTAAATCTGAGGACATAGTGGTGTTTGGAAATTTTGGAAAACTATAGTCTCCCTTTTTGTCACTCAAAAGGAGGAAGAAAAATGAGCAGCATTTTCGAGGTCAACTTCCCTTTACTATGGAGAATTTTGTTAAAATAAAAAATAGACTTCCAGAAATTGAAAGATCTTGCTAGAGTTTGTATTTGTATTTGCACCTAAACTTCTGTGGGGAACTGTGATGGAGGAGTAAGTTTTAGACAGGGCCAGTATTGATGGTTTCTTTAATCACTTTTAGTCCGCAAGTGGTGAATGAGGGTCTGCTGAGTGCAAGAAACTTAGACAAGAAACAACAAAATATAAAACAACCCAGCCCTCTAGACCTCACGGTTTCATTAGGGAAACAGACTAGAACTGTGACATAATTATGCACAAAAATGTATCAATTATTCTTGGTAATCGGGAGTCACATTCAAAAGAATGTGATGGGTGGACTTCCAGTCTCAAGAAGGCAGAGTAGGTAAACACTGTTTGCCGCCCCCTCCATGACATCAAAATCTCAACTTACAAAACTTCATTGAGAACCACCTGAAGACTGGCTGAATAGAATTCCTGTAACTAAGGATATAAGCCAATTTGAGACTGGTGGGACCAAGACACAGAACGGGTGATTCCCAAACCCATAGTATGATGATTAAGAAACAGGAGGGATATCAGTTGCAGGCTAAGTTCTGCCTCCTGATGAGCATGGGGTCCCAGCCCCACACTAGGATCCTCAATATGGTGTTCCAATGCCTAGAAGTCCACACAACAATTGGCTGTGAAAACCAGTGGGATTGCAGCTAATACGGAGGGCTGCTAGTGACTGAGGCACTGCTGGACTAAAAGGCATTATGCACAAACTCACTTGTTCTGCACTTGAGCGCTAGGATAGCAGTGTGAAAATCACCAGAGATATGGTGAAAAGCTGAATTGACAAGCTTCAGGGCAAGGGCTGAAGGGACAGGGGTCAGGGCAGCTCTCTAGGGATAGAAGTGCTGATAGACACCATTGTTCCTTTGTTGAGCCCTCCCTCCACAGAGCTGGTAGGTGCAGGCAGGGGATAAATCTGAGTTCTCCATTAACTTGGCTAACACCATTCGGTCCACCTGATAATCCTCTGAGACCTTGACCCACCCAACTGATGTACAAGCTCAAGCCTCTTCCAGTGGATCCTCCATTCAAGCAGCCTAACTTGGCTCATGCAGGGGGAAAAAAGTCTTTCAAAGGTCCACAGACTCCAGACAAGCAGCAGCTGGCGTCGGTGTGCCCTGTACCTTTTGCTAAGCAGCCCCAAGGCGGGCAGTAGTGACAGCCAGCCTCAGTTCATGGCCCAGTCTTTCTCTGCTGCCTCCAAGCCCAGCACAAGGGGCAACCAATCACAGGTCACTTTGTAACTCCTACTAGGTAGCACCAGTTAGGCATGGACAGCAGCGGACCTTGGCCTCCAACAGAGCACCCCCCAAAAGGACCAGAATAAATACACCCAGTGGCCAGCTTCAGACCACACCGGAGCACCAACCAGCTCCACGAATGATATATACTTCAAGGGTATATTCAGCAGGCACTAGAGCCTTGCTAAAGTGAATCCCACTATAAGGGGTCAGGCTCCCACAAAATAGCTTGTCCACTGTAATTACAATCATTCCTCACAGCCAGTCAACCTAAAGGTTCAATTCCAGCCACTGATGTGCCAACAGAAATCAAGGCTCAAATAGGCAGGCACACAACCCACACAAAGGACACCCCAGAGTAGCTAGCTCAAGTAACCAAGGGGACTGCCACAGGACACAAAGGACATGTAGTATTTACAGCCACTCTGCCAAAACCAGGAAAGGTAGCAGATCTACCTAAAACAAAGAAACACAGAGAGTCAGCCAAAATAATGAAACAAAGAAATGTGTCCTGAATGAAAGAATATGACAAAATTCCAGAAAAAGAACTAAACAAAATAAAGACAAGCATTTATCAAATGCAGTTCTAAACACTGGTTATAAAGATCATCTAGGGGAAGAATAGATGTATTCACTGAGAATTTTAAGAAAGAGATAGAAAACAAAAAATTGAGAGGGAAAACATAAAAAGAACCAGTCATAAATAAAGAGCATATTAACTGAAATGAATAATACATTAGAGCACAGGTCTTATTGGGATGTTCATAGTAGTATGCTGAATCACTATGTTGTATACATAATATTGTAAAGCAACTGATATTTTAAAACATCAAACAGAGAAACTGTAATGGATGAGAAGGTGTTACAGGGAAAACAAGACTGAAATAGCTAAGGTAGAGAATGAAGGGGTTCAGAACATGCCCCCCCAAAGTATGTCATTTTGGCATATTGAATATTTTGAGCTGAAGGCACTAAGAAATAGAAGATGCAGTAAGGGCTCTCTGACCTTGCTTTTCTACCAAAAATCAGGTTTAATATTTCCCATAAGAAAGGTTCCTTCCTCCTATTAGGAAGAGAACATTCTTAACACCATATGCTGGGGATTGATGCAGAAATGGACCTGTACAAACCTACTAAAATAACCCTTCTCTCTCATTATTTTGCCCTATGTATTTAAGTCACTGTCCCACAAGTACCGCTCCTAGCCTGAAGCCCCATTGTCTTACCAAATCCCCACAACTTGTCATTTTTTGTGTGTAAAAAAGTATGTAAACTTTTATGCCTAATGGCTTCTTTGGATCTTCATTTTCCTTCTGAGAATTGCTATGTACATGTAATAATA